CATTGTTTTAGGATGTTAGAAAAAGGAGTTATTAACCTGTTACTTACTGCTGCTCATGCACTTGGATACCACCAATACAACTGGCTGAAGGAAGGTACTATCGTTTGCTGACCTTAAGACCAGGTGAAATCCTATTGGTGTCCCCTGGCATCTACTATACTGTTTCATTTGCAGCAGTTATAGTGGTACTCTGGCCTGCTTCTCTTCAGTCTAAGTGGGAACCTGGGTTGTACTGGGAGACGCACTGAAATGGAATAAGTCTCACTTGTTACCTTAATATTCTTGACAAAACGCTGAGTATAAATTGATAGCGAGTAAGTAACTGCACCCAGGAAGGAATGAAAGAAGCAAGGAGGGAGGGAAGGTGTTTTATTTGCTTTATTCATTTATACTTTGTAAATGACTATGGATTTCTTTCACGCAGAACAAGGAGGCATGTCCTCCAGTCTTCTGTACTGTCAGTTGTTGGTCAGTCGAAGTTGATTAAGTGGCCAATTAGCTATTGAAGGAAGTCTTTTAATCTGTCTGTCTCCAGACACCAGAAATGCATAGTGGTCACACCACAAGGACATTCTTCTAAATCAGGATGGCGGGAAGGGGGGTTGGATAGAAAGAATGTATTTTGTTTTTCCTCAATCTGCAAATTGCTGTTTTTGCATTCTTATGTCGAAGGGGAAACAAACCATGCCCCTTTGTAAGGGAGAGGCCATAACTCAAAAGCTGTGCATATGCCTTGATATGCAGAAAGTCCCTGAAAAAAATTGCTGAAAAAAATTGAAGAGGCAACCACATAGATGTCACAACCTGCACTCTGTCTCTGTCATTCATCCACAGGGTGACAGTCTGGGCTTTTTTCTATTATCCATACGAGCCGGGTATGATTTATCTGGGCTGGTAGGGCACATTACAATTTAAAGCACACTGGACATCTGCACATGTAGTGTGTTTGCAGGTGATGCCTAATACATAATTATGCTCCTTAATTCACAAAATTTTATGAGAGGTTTAGATGATGATATGATCTACTTTTAATTGTCCACTGTTTTTTGCTGCCCTTTCCTCTCTGCCTCCTGCCTCCCCCTTCCTTCTTTTCTTCTTTTCCATCTAAAATTTAAGTTTTACTGTAAAGAAATAAAATAAAGAGACTGCAAAGTCTGCAGTCTGATGTTCATAAAGGGGCTGATGTTCACGTGATGTCAGGCAGTTTGTCCACTTACCCTACTATAACTTTTGACTGGCAGGGCTGCAGCCAGAGACTTTTCCCATTGCTTGCTATCAGCTTCTTTTACCTGGAAATGCAAGGAACTGAACCTGGGATCATCTCTAAGCAAATCAGGGACAGCAGAAGCTGTCTTGGAATTGCCATCTCTCTGAGAAAGAAGAAAATATTGTAGAAAGACAGTGAAAAAGGAAACTTGTTGTCACATGATAATTATGCTCTTCCTTCTTTTTCCCTCCTTATAAATAATGGATTTCCAAAAATAATTTATTTCCCAAAATCAAGGAGCATCACAACAGACTGAATTAAGTATGCATAGAATCACAAATAGAAATAGGTATAAAAAATGAATTGAATTTTGAATTTGTGTGCGTATGTGTGTATGTACATATTTGGCTACACTATTACATTATGCAAAATAGATTTATTTGCTTTGCATTTGTTTGTTTAGTGTGTAGAGTGATGCTTTATGAGGGATTATGGGCAATAAGCTATTCCAAATAAATTGAACATACTTCTCATCTACCTTCCATGGAGAGAGTCGAAGGCAGTTTTTATCTGAGTTTAAAGAAGCTATGCATCAGGATCCAAATATTGTGGCAGCAATTTGGCTAACGAAGAATGTTTTGGAATGGGGGATGGAGGGAAATGATTGCTCTTGCTTGTCAGGAAGAGATTGTAACTCTCCTGTGGAGCACACACTTTGTACACCAGAAGTTCCACGCTTAGTCTCTGATTTAAAAATGGATCTAAAATAAGAGGACTGGGATAGGCCTCACTTAGTCTAATGGGAGTAGTATCAAACTAAATTATTACTCAGACTTATAATCTCAGTATGAAGCAGCTTTAAATGTTCATTGAATGTGTACATTTGAATAATATAATTCTCTCTGTGTTTCTGGTCTGCCTGCGTATCATTTCCATTTAGTGATTGCTTCCAAGAGACTTGAACATCCTAATGCTAGTTGACTTTATATGCATGATCTACGTGGCAGGTCTTACAAGAAAGTGATCCAAGACTTTTGCAGGGACCAGTTGTACCTGAATATCAAGAGTTGGGCTAAAAGGTTCATTTAATACTTTGAATAAAGCACATGCGCGTGCGCACACACACACTTTAATTAGATTGGCTGATTCATCTCTAGAGAGCTACAAGTTAGTCAGCTGAAACGTAAATAT